CAGCCACAACATTGTGAATTCCTCAGGAAGGTGCCAGTCTCATCCTCTTATCTTTCCCTCGCGCCTCAGGAGATGAAAGAAAATGGTTTTCTCCCTGAGTCTGACCTTCATAATTCCATTTCATCACACCTCTGGAAGGCCAGGAGTGAGGGGGCCAATCTCACCTCCGGGGGCAGAATATTCCAGAGAGCGGGGGCTACCTCAGAGAAGGCCCGCCTTCTGGACCCTGCTAAGTGAAGTTCTCTTACTGTGGGGGTCCGAAGCATGCCGTCTCTGTGTGATCGGGTGGGACAGGTTGAAGTCATGGGGAAGAGGTGGTCCCTTAGGTAACCTGGTCCCATGCTATGTAGGGCTTTAAAGGTGATAACCAACACCTTGAATTGGACCTGGAAGCAGACTGGTACACAATGCAGCTTGCGGAGCAATGGCATTACATGGGACCTCCTTGGGGCTCCAAAAATAGCCCGCTATTCTGGACCAGCTGTAGCTTCCGTATACTCTTCAAGGGTAGCTCTATGTAGAGTGCATTGCAGTAATCTATCTGGGAGATAACATGGGCATGAGTGACTGTTGGAAGGGCATCCCGTTTTATCCCAAGTTCAAGAATATTTTGTTATAAGCTCAGATAACTTATAACATTCTGTACTCCAAATCTAAAGCTGTATTCTCTTCCATAGAATTGTTCATATTTGTTCCGGATTAATAACAATTTAAAGTTCATTTTAAACTTCTTGAATGTATTGTCTCTTCTAATTCTATCATAGTCTTGTAGCAGCAGCTCATTTCTAGTGATGAATATTGTTGACTTACTGTTAATTTAATGGCTTGCCCTGAGAGCCATTTCTAGGCTTCAGAGGATGATGTCTTCTTTGGAAGAAAGCTCCCTTTCACCACTGATAATCTTCCACCGTTGCAGCATATCCCACAGTTCAGCAAATATGATATAGTTGTGCACTCTTGTATAGCAGCTAATATTTGTTTAATCAAGTCTGTGTTTACTCTGTAAAGTTTAATGTGGCAAAGGAAGAGGTAATTACTTGGAAGTTCCAGTTCTGTAAATTAAAATTAACGCACTGAGTCAGTTTGTAGATTATTTTCTTGAAAACCTGCAGGGAAAAAAAACCCTGAATAACTGGGAAAGAAACTGATTTTAGCTTTTTTTCTCCAGATTTTTTTTCAATCTTCAAAAAGAATTTTTGGCCTAATTTTTCTGGGGTTCTGTCCCCAGAGTCACATTAATGAATATACAGGCATCTAAGCTTTGAAGTAAAATATGCATAAATCCAAATTTGCACTTTTAAAAATGGCTGACTAATTTTAAAGTGAGTTGGAGAATATTCAGAATATCAGTATGCAAACCTAAGAACAGTTTGGTTTACACAAAATATTGAGAACATGTAAATCTGTTACTTTTTCTTTTCTATGTTTTATGGTTATTGTAATGATTGTAATAAATTACTTGCTTACAGTACAGAAAATAGAAGACACTGAAGGATTAGGGTTGCCCAATCCTCCTTTACAAAAACTAATATTTTTATATCTACCTTAAGAATATTCCTTTTTCTTAAATGTTCCCTCCTCCAGCGTATAGCACTTCCTAAGGGTCTGCTTATGTTTTAGCTTCTTTTTAATTTATATAAAATTTCTTGTTACTCATTCTATAGTAATACCTCTGAGCAGTAACTGTATCATTTACAGAGGCTTTATTCTATTTTGAGAATACTGTATGTATGGAAAATGAACGGACTCATGGAAGTTTTTATTTTTGATTTGACATTTAATCATCCATAAAATAAAGCCTAATTATACAAATATGCATGAAATTTATTAGCATTTTCCATGCATTGTACTTCAGGAACTAATAGTAACCACAGTTTGTTGTGTTAAATCATGCAGTTCATTGATTTGGGCAAGTAAACCCATCAAATACAAGATGGTAGTTTTAAATTAAAAATTCATTTATTTATTTAAAAAAATTGTATAGCTGCCTATCTTAAACCAAACTCTGGGTGGCTTGCAACCCAGAATGCACAACAAATTCCAGAAACAATAAAGCCAGAAACAATAAGCAATATAAACCAGTTTTAAACCATGCTATAAATTTAGATTGATGACTTAAGACAAAATCCTTCATCTAATGAGATATCTCTGCATGTTACTGAAGATTTAGGGGATGATCTCTCTAAAATATAAATTCAGTGTACAAAAACCTAGCTTCTTGGGATTCTTTGTTGCCTTTTGAATAATGCACTGCAGAGTCACTTTTATGTGAGATGGGTAGCTATATAAATAAATAAAATAATAATAATGAGAGATAAAAGGTGCACTAACACTCATGATATGACTTCATCTCATAAAATAATGCTTACCATCCTTGATAACCACATTGTGAAGCTTGTTAGACTAGCAGTTTCATCATTGGGACACTACATTCTGTATATACTGATGTATAAGCCCATCTGTGGCTAAGACAACTCGTGAATTTTTATCCAAAATACCATGAAAAATATGGCACCTGCAGATAAGCCACCTGCATTTTTCATAGTATTTTGGTTAAAAAATTCAGGGTCTACTTATCTGCGGATAGGCTTATATATGAGTATATATGGGAAATACAGATACTTTTAAAAAATATTACTGTATTTTGTCACAGATAGGCCCATCCGCGTATAAACTGAACATTTTTTGGGGGGTGCATTTTTGCATCTAAAATTCTTGGCTAATCCACGAGTATATACAATATTTCCACACTGAATTAACTTCCCTGGTCTAGACACCAAATTATGTATCTTTGGGTTTGCATGGTTTCTCATCATCATGCCTAGTTTGCATACATGTTTTGTTGCAGGTTGATGAAATTGCAAAGATAACTAATATTTGGAAAAGCAAGGAAGAGTGTGATCTGCCTATCTATAGAAAGCAAACCTTTGAAGGCGAATACACTACTGCTACCACAGCACCATATTTTTGTGCAAATTAGAGATGCAGGGAATTCATCTAATTAGTTCAAGAGTTAATTTGTTTTGGTTTCTCTTATTTGACTCTTAATTTCTTGAAACAAAAATTAGTTTGTTGTAGTTAGTTCTTTGTAACTGGTTTCAGAGAAAGAAGCCTTAGTGTCTAAGCCAGTCTGGACTTAGTTATAGTGACGTTCAATTTCAGTAAAATAAGAAAAATGTGCTGACACATCTTGGACAAGAATTTCAAGAGTTGACTCATATGTAGGAAGGCCTTAACTGACATTGTTTTAAAGGTCACACAATGGTTACTTATTATATTTAGGATGATAGCAAGCATACATTTAAGTATTTATTCCTTACTTTATTTCCAGTTCTATTTCTATATTTTAGATAGAAATAGTTTGCATGTTCAGATTCAGTAGTCACTGACTTCTATAATTAAATGGGTAATTGCATATAAAAATTTTTATTTCATGACAAGAAGATACCACTTAGTATAACTACTTTTTTGTTTTTCAGTAGATGAACAAAACTCTATTCATTTCATGAAACAGACTACGTTTATCCACTGAATGTGGTCTTCAGAATTTACTGTAAGAAGGCAGAGGCACCTGCTTATTTCATGAAGAGTGGATCCTTTTTCTCCACTTAATACAGCCATTAAATAAGAACATGTTTGAGTTGATACTGTGGTGGTTCTTTCACAAACAGAGCAAAACATGTTGATTTGAACAAAATGGAAGGAACAGTACTGTATTGTCTATTTCACATAAACATGCCATCCACATGCCGAGATCATGCAATTTATAAGTTTGGTTATTTTTAATTAATAGCACAGTCATCTGTCAATATATTGTTTTTCAGTTTAAAATACATTAAAATTAGATTGTGCCTTTTTTTAAAAATAAAACTACTCTGCCACTGGAAACATTGAATCTCATCAGTTAAGTCTCCGCAACCAGCACATAATAGAAGCCTTAATATATTATCTTCTGTAAAGTTCCTTTAATGTGATTGTAGTTGCACAAAAGCAGCAGTTGGTGGCTCTGCCCTTTGTTTCTTATAAAAGTTCAATAAAATCAGACTAGACTAAGAGAGACAGAGAAATGTCTGCCCTCTTAGTCTTTGCATTTGGGCTTCTGACTGTGTTTCTAGAGTTTTATGATTCTGACCTGCCAGAAGTCCTCTGCAATCTAATTAACTAAGTGAATAATTTTAATTTTGTTGGCTTTGAGTAAAGAAGACTCTGCCAGATGCTTGCCATGTTAGTTTCAAAAATTTAGAATAAAATCTGATAGAGTCTATATTAGTCTGAATAGTGAGGCTGCTGAAGAACGTATATACTCATCTAGTAAAGAACATAATTGTTATCTGTCATTTAGAGCTTTCTGTAGATAGACATTTTTCAGGAGATTTGTAGGAATTCTGCCTTCTGTCTCTCTTTTAAAAAGCCATCATCATTGCATTCTTAATTGCATCATATTTTGAAAATCATCCAGACATGAAAAGTCACTTTTTAAAAGTAAGCTTCGTATATTGATTTTCCTGCTTGTCTCACAAAAATACAATAACTGGCTGTTTTCCTTTTCCCTTGAGTGATGACTTGCTTGGCCCATTAACTGCATTGTTCATTGGGACCCTCAGTACAGCTTCACTGTAGCATTTTAGCACAGGTAGTATTTACTTTCCTTACAAGTTATCCAGCCATTATATTTGTGGTAATCATTGGATTGCACAGATGACAATGATGCCATGTCAGCTGATTCTTCTCATTAGAAGCTAGAGTTCATTCTTCTGCCTTGACCATTCTTCTGTGGCCTGCATAACATTATGGCTGCATGCATCTTCCTAAACTACAGGCTCTGAGCTCCCAGCAGTTGGGCAGGAATGGGGAGAAAGGGAAAAGAAAAGGAAGAGACAAAGTTAGGAGTATACTAATTGGAAAAATAAGGGAGTTCTTTTTGCCTTTTTCATCACTTGCTAAAATTATATAATTTATGGGAGCTGTGAGAATTGGAGAGCACTCTGAAGATTTCCAGAGTTCTTCCTTTCTGTTGTAAACCATCTGCTGTAAAAAGGGCGAGTGCAGGCAGAAGAATGCTCATTTTTTCCCCTCACTACTAGGCAGCTTTTGAGGTATGAACTTTCTTTTTATAGAGTATGCAACTTAGTTTCAAATAATGCTTTTTAATCTTTCTGGTAGACGTGTATGTTGTTCTGAGATCATTTGTCTCAAAATCTGAGAAATGTTCTATTTGTTTTATAGGTAGAGAAAGCCAGGACATTGAAATATTCTTAGAGTTTATGGAAAGTGGTTACAAAAAACCATATATTGCAAGATGACAATTTTAAAAATAATATATATTTGTTTTTGCAGACTGCATCCTCAGCTATCAAAGGTGCCATACAACTGGGAATAGGATACACAGTGGGTAACCTTACATCTAAGCCAGACAGAGATGTACTTATGCAAGATTTCTATGTAGTCGAAAGTGTATTTCTTCCCAGGTAAAGGATGAGTTAATTATTTTTTATTTTCCAGGATATTCTGTACCAGATTTGTTGGTTCCAGTGATAACCAGTCTTCCTTCCAAACTGCTAAGGAGAATGGATATACATGTTTCTTGTACTCACCTCCCAAAATCAAAACAAAATCTGTGAGATTTGGCTGAAATTTCACTGATCTTTCTGGGAATGTATAGATTTTTGTACTGTCCACTTGAACAACTTTGTCACTATTATGTTAGGTATTGCTCACTTCCAGAATAAACTGAAATTAATTATTAAATATGGAATAATACATTGCATTATGTATTAATGCCAGACAAGATTGTTTTATGAATATGCCATTTATAGTAATAGATGAAAGGCAGAAGTTAAGTTCATGTACAATTAAAGTTTATTCTGAGAAATAAGGAGATGGTATTTAGATGACACAGTTATCACACTGATGTTATGTGTATGCATGTAGAGTGTCATCCTTGCTTTTCTAAATAGTCAGAATCTGTTTTGACTAAGAAGAGTAATAGGGGATATTAAATGAGAGCAGAGTATCAACAGTTTCAATGCTGCCTCTTTGCGTTTGAGGGAAATGACAGGAGTTTTATGGTGTGAAGTACCCACATGACAAGATAGTAAAAAGATATTTTTCTTGATATTTGCAGTCAGTTCTTTGTGCATTGAATGGAGCTCTATCTCTGTGCATGTTTGTGGAGAGTATATTATTTCACATTATTTATATTTTTGAATTAATATGTTAATTCTAAAGACTGTTGTTTAATTCCAAAGAAAATGTAATGTAGGTTTCAAGTAAATGGCATTTATAAGTGTAGATATTTAGTGCATCAACTGGTAGTCAGTGTGACACAAAAGTGTGACAGTACTTGCTTTAGTCTTGGTTAGCATCATAACTTTCCTTCAGTGTGGCTTTTAAGTGATTCTTCTTCCTGGAGAAGTTTGATAGATTAATTCAGGAAATTGCTTTCCCCTCCTGATTGGAGAAGATAGGCAAAATCTAGCAACAGAAGGAATAATTAGGCATCCTTGTAATAAAATATGAAATTACACTCTGGGGGTTGAACAACGGGTACTGCATTCAGTGTTCCTACTCCTAAAAGGCTTTTTCCAAGCAGATTTTGATAAATAGTAGTTTTTGAAATCAGTCACCTGCAGATGTAAAACATTCAACAGGTCAAATAACTTAAAATAATTATTGAATAGTTGGACTTGCATAACTGTTGGGCTTGTGTTGAAAGGTGAGATTCCAAATGTGTTTCTAATTGGAGTGCCAGTACAGAGACATCTGGATTTCCTACAGGAAAGTAACATTAAACGACAAGAGTTAATCATAAAAATATAGTGTGTTTCACATTTTGTACTCTTGGGGTGATTTATAGGTAGATATTTCATTAGTCTCTTTATTGTGAAGCCAGTATGAACTCAGTGAATAGCTAAAAGATGCTTATTCTCTCAGTCCTTTGTTCAAAGATTGCAGTCTTCCCTTTACAAATGTCTGTTGCTCTGTGAGACAATATAAGCACTGTTAACATTCTAGGAAGGTAGTATAATGCAGCCTTGCAGTTCTTGATGCCAGAATTCAAACCTAAGTTGATCTTGTGGACTGACACTTGGATTTGCTTACTTTCTGGGTATAAGAGTTTATGATTCTAAATGCAACTTTTGGAACAAAAAAGTAGGGTTTCAGAGCAGTTCAGAGAAGCAGTTAAATCTTTTAAGACAACTTTTAAGATGTCACATATCAAGCTAAACCAGAACATGATTTGTTTGCTTTTGACTTTCTGGGATTTTTGAGCCCATTTTGCTTAAAAGAAAAATAACAACCAGCCATACATAACATGAAATAAAACAAAAATGGTACTGCATTAATGCTGTTATGTATGGAGTCTTTTGTAGAGTATTCCTATGACATTTGCACCAGTATGCATATGAAGTTAAAAAGTTGCCATTTTAAAAAGTTAATTACCACTTGGTGGCAACTTTTGGGGAGGCTTTAGAAGCCACACTCCTGGCCTTGAGAGGGCATAGGTCTGTTAGGTAATACAGGCTGTGAAATTTCATTATGTTGTTCAGTTCTTTTCAGCAAGAACAGGAAAGATAAGTTTTAAAATAAAAGACAATAATTAATCCCATTAAAAACATTCATAAGCAATTAAAGACAGTCAGAACCAGAACTGATGTAAAAACAGAATGAAGAATGAATTCAGCTTGATGCATTTCAGGATATTTCTACAGTATACAGACATGGTTGAAAAAGGACTGATCCTCTTTTATTCTTCTGACCTCTACTGTATAGATTGTAATGAAGTACAGAAAGTATTTCACTGAGAAATATTACTGGGATGCTGATGTTAATAATTAACATCTGATGATGATGTTAGATTACTGGTAAACAATACAATCCTGTACATCTTAAAAGGCATTGGTTTTCTTCAAAAGAATATTGGATGAAAAGAATTCAAAAATATAATAAATCTTCATATTCTGTTATGTTAGTACATTCTTGATTTGTTCCAGCTGTTGACTGAAGAGTCTGAAAATGCTCCTATTTTTAATAAAATTCAAGTTAAGATGTATATAATATATATGCATATGCATATGTATGATATTTTAAATTTCTCTTTCAACTCAGTGAAGGAAGCAATCTGACTCCTGCTCATCATTATCCAGACTTTAGATTTAAGACCTATGCTCCTCTAGCTTTCCGTTACTTCAGAGAACTTTTTGGTATTAAGCCTGATGACTACTTGGTAAGAATTTATTCCTTTTTTCCCCCAAAAAAGTATAGGGAATGTAAGAGCTCTTTCTGCTTCTGAACCAGTGACTGTCAATTACTCTGATTTGTGATTGGGTTGAGCATTGTTCTTGGTGTGACCTCACTTTACAGTGAAGAGAATTGTTCAATATTATTTATTAGTTTTGGTTTGATTCACACACCAAATTCCACTCATCTGTGTATCTGTTTTTTATGCGGGGTGGACAGCACTAAGAATAATTCCTTAGTAAGTATAGTCTTCAGCAGTACTTTCAGATTGGGTCAGGCAAAGATCCACACATTATCAAGAATTTTTGAGATGCATACATTTAAGTCTTGGTTAACCATTTCCATTTTCAGCTTTTAATAGCTTGTCCTAAAATTGTACGTGTTAATTGATAGTTCACCAGCTGAAGTGTGGCTGCTGCTCAACTCATTATTTCTACTAGAAATACTGTAATTGAAGTTAAATACCCCTGTGGATTTTGCTGATTGAATTTTAGTGAGGAGACGTAATTCATTAATTTCCATATAATTGTCTAACAATGTGCATAAATACTGTATGTGCTTCCTTATGTGGAAACATAACCTTCACCTAGAACATTAAGCAACCTATAGAATGGCCCTCCAAATATGCATGGAGCAAGAAGTAATGCAGATGGAACCATGTGTAAGATTCCTATTGAGCAGCTTATTCTGAATAGCTGCAAGAGCTATAGTATATTTCAATATTGCATTGTGCTTGCAGCTCAGCCCTGTGTAGAACTTTTCTCTTTTGTACTTAATATGGCACTTAATAAATAGTGTACTGTAAGATTCAAAACCTGTCAAAACGATAAAAAAGCTGTTTCATTGCCAGTTAAGTTACTGCTGGCAAAACCTCTGAATTTCATCTTTCCCAAGATATTTCATCTTTATCATATTCTTTTTATTAACATTCAAGGTTACAACAATAGAAGAAAAACATAATGCATCATTAAGTAATATAAATATACTATGTTAAGTGCATTAATAGGAAAAATAAACATCTGTTTGCAGTGCTAAAACATAGCAATTTAATAGTATGTGACAAGAAGGAAAGAGGTTTCAAAGTGCTGAGCTTGCATATTCCTCTCTTCCCCTTTTGCCTCCTATGTAACCAGCAGGAAGAATGAATCCATTTTTAGCTTTACCATATGCCTAATTTATAATTACATGTAACTGAGGAATTTCAGATTAAAAGAAATTCTAGGCTGTTAAGCCAATAACAAAAGTTTCTTCTTGACTTCTTTAGGATCAGTTCATGGTTTATTTTTCATCATGATTCTTGCTTCATATGTAATAAGAAGCTAGGAATCTGCCAAAATAAGGTTCCACTTAATTGATCTTTTATCTTTAAGAAGAAGCAATGCACAACAATGCAATATTGCATGTGCAGATATTTTTGGCAGAGCACAGTGCAAAAAAAAAAAAAGAGTAATATTTATTCAATCCAGACCAATTAAAAATCAGTGCTTAAACTACATTTATGGCACATATTAACATATCTGAGCCTCTTTGATTCTGTTCTTAAGGAGAATTTCCCTAACTATTCAGTATTGGCAGGTGTACACTTTATATGTTGACTGTAGAATTCAATTTTTGATCATGTCTTTTGATTTTTCATTGTGCTTCCTTTTTTATCTGCCACTTAATAGTTCCCCTTCACTTTTCATAAAATGTGTACACCTGGAGAATATGCAATTTATTAAAGAGAAATAATATTCATATAGAAATGTTATCTTGTGAGAAGCTGACTTCTTCCTAGCTTCACGGTCTATCAAACTCGTACTATGAAATGAACAAATCTCTAGATAAAGGAACTATAATAACAGTTTTCAGATCTGAATACCTAAATGGCCATTTTGATTACTGAGAACACACTTTAAAATATGTTAGGAAATATTCATAATTAGGAATACTGTTTTATATTCCAAGAATATAAATCAGCTAAAACTGAGCAAATTGGAAGTTCAGAGAGTGTTGAAACCATGATATACTCATTATTACTTTCTTTTATTGTTTCACATTAACCTGGATTCTTTATGAAGGTTAATCTATTTATTCTTAAGTTATGCCACCTCAAATGTTTATATTGATTTAATTTCTGTTGAAGTATATTTGTCTTTTACAAAACTGCAAATGAGAAAAAATAGGACTAATCTGGGTTTTCACAGCATCATACACAGAGAATGGAATCTCTGTTCTTAACCACAAATAAACCTCAAAAACATAGATTTGAAATGTAACTGAAGATAATAACCTATTTGCCCCCAAATGTATTAGTTAATTCCAGTTTGTCACATTGTTAGATTTTCAGTGCAAAGCCTTTACATTTTGACTCACATGATTAACCAGT